GTTGGTCTGGGGCTTCTGCGGGATGGAGCTGGTCTGGCTACGTTGCCCGCTGCCCGTCTGCAGGGGAATGGGGAGGATGATGGGGAGGAAAAAGGTGTGTAGTTAGGACAAACTGTTATATCTTCAGGTGGAGATTTGGAAATTGCTCTCCCATCCCCCTTGCTTAGAAAGGGCTCTGAAGCTTTTCAACAATAGAAAATTCGGTTTATATGGCTGCTAGAGCACCATTGATAAGAAAGCACTTTCAACCTTTAGATAGGGGAAAGATGAAAAGAGGGCAAGATACCTTTAGAGACAAGACAGTGAATCAGTTCTATGCATTTTCAAATCCCCCTCACCCACCCCCACCTCCACCCTCCCCTGGTCTGAGAAAAGGCTACTCTCTACAGAGAATTATGGCCTCTTGGAGATGAGTGATCACAAGGTGATTTCATTTTCATTGATCCCCATGAATGTCTCAATTTGGAAAGCTGTCTTGGAGAGCAAGGAAGCTCTTATTCCAGCTCCCCAGCCACCTATGATGGAGCAGAGGTCGCTTGCACCACCCCGTGGCTCCCTACCCCTATCACACATCACATCTGTGAGCCCATTTCAGGAGAGAGAGTCTGAGGCCCCAGGCTCCAGATGCTGCCCAAAGAATCCTTTCCATTCCGGTAACCAAGTGTTTCCAGAGTTAGGGAAGGGTAGAAAGAAAAAGAGGGCATTGAGGAGGGGAGGACAAGAGAGGAATGGGAGGCCAGAGAGCTCAGCAAGGTGTTGTGTTTGTGTATCCCGATTTGTGACCGTGCAGTCTTTTCTCTTCAAGGTCCCTAAGGCTGTGGAGGTGAAATGGGGACTGAAAAGGAGTGGGTTCAAGCATATCATCATTCAGTTTCATTACCTGCTCCTCCTGCTGGCGCTGGCAACAGAGAATCATCTGCAAATATGGTAGCTGAGGCAGAACCGGGATATATGGAAAATAAAGGGACAAACTTTGACAATAGAACTCCACCATTAGAAGGGAAAGCTATAATGTCAGGGAAGGGGGAAGGCTGGGAGAGGTAAGAGGGGAGGTGTGACCAAGGTCTAATGGGATGAGGACAACTGTGCTACGGGAGGTGGAGGAGAAAGGCAACAAAGGAATGGGGCAAAAAAAGGTTTCAATGGCCCCTCCTCTGACATCTCCTTTGCCGGCCACTTGTGTTATGTGCGCTTGTGTCTGTATGTGCTGTGTGCCCATGACTGGCGCTGGGGAGGACTGGGTGAAGGTGGTGGTGAGGAAGGGTAAGAAAAGGAAAGGGGAGGCAGTTTTAAGGGACAGGAAGGAAGAGGAAGGGAAAGGAGAGAGGGGAAGGGCTATTACCTGGCCATCCTGCTGCAGGTGATGGTGAAGGATCTGGGAGTGCGGCTGCTGATGGGGGGTCAGAATGTGCATAAAGGGGGCAGGTGGATAGGCAGCAGCTGTGGCCGGATTGATGGGCCCCCCACTTCCTAGGGCTGAAGGCAAGTTGAAGGAGGCAGCAGGAGTACCGGAATGAAAACCTTGTTTCTCAAAGGACTGCTATCCAGGAGGATGCGAGGAGAGAGAGTAAAAGGGATCAGCAAACTAATGCCTGGAATTTCGGAGCCCAAGCTCCCCCACCCTCAGGAAGCAGCACAGTGTCATGGAAACACTGCACCTGAAGTCAGATATTCCGGTCTCGGTCTCAGCTCTGCCCTTTAATAGCTGTGTGATCCTGAAAAAATTACTATCTCTCAGCCTCAGTTTTCTCATACATGAAAACAGGGATGCTACTGACCTCTCAGTTGTAAGGACCAAACGAGAAAATGGATGTGAAAGCACTTGGTAAAATCTAACGTCATATACGAACACAGTGAAATCTGCTGGCTACTCTTAGCACCCCTCCCCTAGAGCTGGGTAGAAATTAGAACTGCTTGGATATTTCAAAAGAAATGAATACACACTGAGGTATCTTGAGTATTAAAAGTCTTAGCCCTGAAGCACTCAACCGTAACTCCTAATACTTTATCAAAATTTTAATTATTTATGGTGGCGGGTGGAAAAAACAGCACAATACACATCTGTGGATAACTGAAATGCATCACTTTAGCTACTGGGTTGTCTCCTTTCCTACTCTTTGTTATCCCTTAGATACTTACAAAGAATGGAATAAACTAGTTTCCCTTCATTCGACACTCATTCTCTTGGAAAGTTATGAAAAGGTTGGGAGTGGGTAAGTAAAGGGCCCAGACAGTTGCACAGTAATTCACACAACATATTACAACAATTTGCCACATCTCACCTTCCTGTAACACTTCTCTTTTTGTCTTTTTCTAGAGAACTAAATTTAAACTTCTTCAAGAAACTGAAGTCTGAGACCATTCATTTTCTAGAAGGATGGGTTTCCTGACACCTCTCTTAGGGTTGGTTCTTGTTCACCGTACTTCTATTATTACAACTCTACCTCCTCTGTGTCCATCTGTCTTTTTCCACTTCTATCCAGAGCCAGGCACCTACCTGGGTTTTGGAGTACACAGAACCCGAGATATCTGGCACGCCCGTGTTACTGGAGGTGACTGATACACCTGGGGGAGGAGGAAACAGATAGGAGGATTAGCTCAGCTAGCTGCCTGGCCCCTATCCCTGGGAGGAGGTGATGTGTGCAGCCTTTCTACCTATAGCACTGCAAGGGAATTTTGGTCTGTTTTCCCAGCTTCAGGTCAGTCCTGAGGGATAAGAGCTCATGAAACAAAGGCTACCTAAAGGTTCTCTTGCCGGGGGCCGGCCCAGTAGCATAGTGGTTAACTTTGCACACTCTACTTCAGTGGCCTAGGGTTCACAGTTCAGGTCCCGGGTGCGGACCTATGCACTGCTCATCAGGCCAGACTGTGGCAGCGTCCCACGTACAAATTAGAGGAAGATGGGCACAGATGTTAGCTCAGGGCCAATCTTCCTCACCACAAAAAAAAA